GGAGCCCAAGCAACCTCCTCCTAGTTCCCTGTGGGGCCACAGCACCCCCCTCCCTCCCAGCTGCCGGGGGGGTCTGCGTGCTGATGCTCTCCCATGCCCCGGCAGCATCCTGGGCACGCTGGCCGCCTGCTACCTCACCCTGGTCATCATCCTGAAATACCACCTGGAGGCAGAGAGCCTGGGCTCGCCCGAGCTCCCCCAGCCCTCCAGGTAGCAGGGGTCAGCCCCGCGTCCCTCCTGCCCCGTCCTCCGTGGCATCAGCAGTGCCCTGGGCAGGGCTGGAGGCAGTGCAGGGGGTGGCCCTGGGTGGGGGGGGAATGAGCTGGGGACAGCGCTGGCAGGGCGGTGGGTGGGTGGCAGCCCCCAGCCCCAGCTTTCGCCCCTGCAATCCCCCCTTCTCCCAAAATCACCGGGCGGGAGGTTCCCGCGGTGGCATCCAGGCTTCACAGCTTATGCCACCAAAGTCCCCCCTGCCTCCGGGGGCCTCACGCCCTTCCCTCTGTGCTTCCTCTCCCCCATGCCACAGGCCCTCCTCCTGGGCCTCCATCTTCAGTGTCATCCCCACCATCTGCTTTGGCTTTCAGGTAGGTCACCCTGGCCCCACTGTCCCCAGCTGCCGGGGTGCTGCTGGCAGCCTGCCGCGGCATCCCGGACCATGGGGACACCATCCCTTGCAGGGGGGTTGCAGGGAAGGGGACCCGTGACTGTCACCAGAGGTGGCTGTGGGGCAGGACACAAACCCCTGGGGGCAGGGAAGAGCAGAACAGGGCACCCACGGGTGGGAGGGAAGGCACTGGGGGTGGGGGTTGTCCCTGCATGGGGCCCCAGCGCCATCCCCCCGTGCCTTGCAGTGCCACGAGGCCTGCGTGGCCATCTACAGCAGCATGCGCAACCAGAGCTTCTCCCACTGGGTCGCCGTCTCCGTGCTCTCCATGCTCATCTGCCTACTCATCTACTCCCTCACCGGTAACCCCAGCACCGGAGCCCTTCACCCCTCCCTTGCCCCGGGGGTCCCCTGTCCTCAGGGCTCATCCATCCTCCTTGGGGCTCCTCTGTCCTTCTCACTGGCACAGCCGCCCACCCCCCGCCTCCCCATCGGCAGGGCTGTACGGCTATCTGACCTTCGGCGG